TATAATCATCCTAGCATACCATAATTTCGAACGTTTGCTAATTTGTTTTTAAAAATGGTCGTAATTTTATTTTATTATTTTTAGCTCAATGTTTGAATATTTTCGCGTCAAATTTTGTTTGTGGTTATTTTATCACAAGTAGAATCGTTTAAAAAAATAAAAAAAATACATGCATATTCCGTATTGGATAGATAATAATAATAAAATAAAATTACGACGATTTTCGAGCGACTAAAACGCGACCGGAGTTGTCATGAAACGATTGGCGTCAATCGTCTATTCCATTCATAACTTACGCTCAGATGTCACTTCGACGTTAAACACAACAAAGTTTCTCAAAGTCAAAAAGTCAAAAATCGATTCATTTTTATTATTCCTGGTACAAATATGTGGTAATTAATAATTCTATTTATTAATTTTATATTTTAAAGTTAGTTTTGATATCGTGTTTACAGTAAAATACTTCAAGAGTGTATTTCTATATAAACTAACGTAAATGAACTGTGTATTGACAACACAGCGACGCCATATTAGATAAGCCACTTGCTTCGACCAATAGTGTGCGTTTTAGAACTTAGCGAGGGAATTTGAAAAAAGACACTTTTTAATAATTAAATTTTGCCACTAAATCACATTATATTTAAAAAAATCTCTGCAGGACTGTTTTTATAGTAATAAAGTATACTTAAAAAAAGTTTGGTACAATTTGGCGTCATATGCATATTGCCTATTGCAATATTTGATTGCAGAAAGTTCGTCACTGCAGTACACAGTGTCGAACCAGGGCTCGCTGCAGATCATACTGAACAGGTACATGTACTACCTGAAGTACACGAACCGCAACCGCGCGCGCCAGTGGCGCTGCATCGACTACCTCAAGAGCGGCCGCTGCCCCGCGCACGTCGTCACCCGCGACGACGTCGTCGTGCAGAGGTGCTGCTGCGCTGCATTGCCCGGCTCTTGCCCACACTAACACCCCGCTCTTAGGGAAACTACAACACTTTATGCAATACACTTATTTTTACGGAAAAATATATCTATTGTCTTTTGGGTAGAGTTTTGTTTACGTTGTAAAATACGTTAATAACACCCAACACTGTTTATAGTTGTTTGACACACGGTCACGATAAGATCCCGCGACCATAGAGAAATTATGTTTATACGCACTCTTTCGCGTAATGCGTGGCTTTTAAGCGCGAAATTTAAAATTCGCTTTATAGTATCGGGGTCGCGCTAAGCGGGGTATTACTGTACTTATACTTATTTATTTATATAATATATAATAATATATAATAAAGTGTAAACACACACTACTTTGTGACGTAAGATATCCGCAATCACAGCATATTTTTGAGTATTTTTTTTTAATTTAACTTTAATAAAAAGCCCTACACTTACGCCACGCTTTAGGCTATATATTTTCTCGCTATTAAACATAAGGGGTAAATAAATTGGATAAAAACCCTAATGTAGGAAAGGGATTATAAGCTGCTTAATAAGATTGCCATGGTCTATCTTCATGTCATATTTTGCAATTGATGATTTGACAAATGTAAACAATATAATAAAATTTTCATAAATTCAAGTGGATGAAGTCGCACGGGAACAGCTAGTCTATAATAAAATTTACTCGAAACCGAAGCCATGGTAGCGGTAATTGTTAGCTAATGGCAAAGGCTTGTCATTTGTGTATCTGAATTTTGACATATGCTAAAAAAAGATTTACAATTCTCTCTCCTGTTCCCTAAAAAGGGTATATAAGATTAAAGGACGGGCTCTACCACTTGTGATAAAGCCCGATTATTCAATTTACGCCATCATGGCACTGATGATAGCGATGTTGGAAACTTGTCATTAGTCGACAGTAAATTCAAATAGATAAATAATTGTTAATAAAAGCATAGTTGTTTAAGGTACATTTATTATTTGTGTAGGATAGCGGCGCATACGCATCCCTTCCACGACGAGAGGATCCTGAAGAAGTTAAGAGCGGGCGCCATATTCTCTGCTCTCGTAGAGGCTGAAAAAGAAGGGGAGAATATTCTGCGCGCTAAAAGTATCGAAGCAAATAGAAGTGAATAGCATTATACGTTATGTATTACAATTGCTTCGTTTTATTTCTTTATACCCTTACTAGTTTTTGCCCGCAACTCCGTCCGCGTTTAATTTAATAAAAAAAAAATTATCAAAATCGGTCCGCTAGCGGCGGAGTTATACCGTAATAAATTTAAAAAAAAAAATACAGACGACTTGAGTACCTTCTTTTGGGAAATCGGTCAAAAAAGTGAGTAGCCTATGTGCTCTTCCAGTTCCACTACGTCTATGTAAACATTTCATCGAGATCCGTTCAGCCATTTAGGCTTCAAAATCCAACAAACATCCATCCATTCATCTAAACTTTGACATTTACAATACTAGTAAGATAGTAGGGAGGCAAAGCTACATTAATATTTACCCGAGCATGCACAAGTCTAACAAAAAAAACTCAAATCAGTACTCCCACCATACAGAGCGGCAGTGTTATGTCAGAATACTAAGTAAAAAAGGTTTATATTCAAGTTATTATTTCAAATTTTACCGCGCTCGAGAATATCAAGCGACGTACTTTTCTTACATCTTTGTGACTATTTCCTTATGTAAAGTGCAAATCGTCAGATAAATTGTACATTTTCTGCATGTAATTAACTCAATCTAATCTTAAACTGAAGCGATAAGTAATTTTTATATTCTAACATCCGAATCGGATGCCAAAAAGCCACCTTAACCTTTGTTTAATCATATAGTTTAAAAAATTTGAAGACCGTAAGTAGGGTTCAGCTTATAGTCTATACTAATATTGTTAAGAGGAAAGATTTGTATTTTTGTATGTATTGAGATAATTCAAAAACTACTGGCTGATTATAAAAATTGACCAATTCAATTTAAAACTTTTACCATCAAAAAGGTAATTTATCTGTGAGTAACAAAGCACAGGCTATATTTTATTATTACTAATGTTTAGGAACTATTAGTAAACAGCGTGTTTCTGGACGCCGGCGTTAAAAATTTACTACACTTTAACTTTTCTCGGCTTACGCTGCCTAAACCGTTAAAGGTATGGCTGTTTCGTTTCTTACACTATGATAACACGAAATGGGTTCAACTAATTTATGTAATTACTCGATATCTTATCGTGTAATTAGTGTTGTAAATAGGACAGTGACCTTTGAATTTAACCACAAAATAACCAATTCGTGAGCGTTTAATTTTACTGTTCGTCAAAGACTATCTGAAGTGGATATCAATAAAAAAAAACTTTGTAAAATAAAATTTATTATCCCCATTATAACATTATATTAAAATATTAAAAAAAATATCATATAAAAATATGTATCACCTGTAATTCTTGAAGGCACATATATTTCGAGATTTGTCAACTTAACACTAAATGTATAAAAATCTTAGATAAAAAGATATAGGAATGTATTGGAATGCATTAAGGTTTATTCCAATTGAAAACCTAAAATTAGTAAACTATAAATGTTTTATAGGTTATCATTATGCATTATTTTATAACCTTAAAATAAAATAAAGTGATATATGGAAAAAAATCACAAATAAAGATGTTCTATTTCTTTACATAATTTCAGGTTTTAGATTGGAATGTTATAAAAATACATTACATTAATATATGAGTATTCGTTACATAGATCTTGGTTTAATTACCACTTAGTTTTGTCTTATCAAAGAGATTACATTATTAGATATTTGAATTACCATTATGGAATTTAGTTAAATATTTGACAACTCTAAAATAAAATAATGATTGATAAAACTTACACATGAAATAATATGCTTATGATTTAATACACAAACACGATTCTTAAACATTTTTACCAATTTAGTAATTTATGTAAATAAAAAACGACACATCCATAGACTAAAAATGAATTCAATTATTATGCTAAAATATAAAAAAAAAACAAAATAAATGCACTTTTAAGTACTATAGTAGTTAATAATTAGTTTAGTCGATTCCTTAAGAATGTCGGCAACGTAAAAGCGGCTTTGTGAATATCGCTGTTGTAATATTTAAGATTCATTGCCCTCTCCTCTTCTTTAGTGAATGTAATCTGTGGGCTGTCAAATTTGACTTCAGCATCCAAAGATCCAATAACAAAACCTATCAACCCTGAAGGGTAAGTTGGCACGGAAGTATATGCGTACGCACCAACCGGGAACTGATTCCTGCAGTATTTCAATGTGTTCGATACAAAATCTAGATCATTCCAGAATGTTCCGGCTTGTGAACAAACGATACCGTTCGGTTTTAGTGCACTCTTCATTAGTGCGAAGTAGTTCTCTTGGAAAAGGCTCACCGCAGGTCCCACTGGGTCACTACTGTCTGTTATAATAACGTCGAATTCGTTGCTGTGGTTCTTCATGAACTCAAAACCGTCCCCAATGTGTAAAGTCAGCTTTGGACTGTTAAAACCTACTGACATGAAGGGCAAATACTTTTTCGATAGTTCAACTACTTTTGCATCAATTTCTACCTGAAAAATAAATTCAAAGAGTTAACATTTTATTTCTTATTTGTGATTTTGCTGGAGACTTCGTCCGCCGCGTAACTAATATAATTCGTTAGTCTATGTTCTTACGATTATGTTCTACATCTGTGATAAATTTTAACAAGATTCATTAAGCCATTTTAAATAATCTAAACTCTATACTAATATTATAACGAGGAAAGATTTGTATTTTTGTATGTATTCAATTCACATAAAACGTAAACGAACACAATTAGGATAACCGAAAAATCAGCGTACAAACCACGTGGCTTAGAAATTTGAAATCTTGCATCAGTAGATTTCTATAACATTTTAGGTAATAGGTTGAAAAAAGAGGAATGAAAATTATGTAATTTCAAACTACACGTGGACTATGTCGTGGGCAACACCTAGTTTAGTATAAAATATAACAGTAGTCAATGGAAAAATGGTGATATAATATTCTTACAATGTATTGTTATCTCAGTAAATGTTAAAGAAGTAACAAAGTAGTAATTAATTAGTAAACAGAGTTAAATATGTACATAAATTCACTTTATCAGTTGGCTACAGTCATTACATATTTACTCAACTATTAAGAAATAGATAACACTTATCTTAAATTCAACAAATACTCATGACAAATTAGACATTTTTGGTTATTATATTTGTACAGAGGTTTAATGTATGCTTTGGAATTATTCACAAACAAATTATCTTGTATATTTGACGAAGTAAAAGGTAAAGTGCTTTCTCTAGGTTACTAAATATCAAACTAAAACTAAAACTTCCTTAAAATAGTAATAAAAGGTATGCTATGACCTGTTCTGTATATCATAACTTAGACTTCTAAAGACAGTACCTGTCAATCATTTCCCTCTTTCAAATTAAAACAAATAGTACAATTTCTTCCTTAGGCAATACACTTGTTTAGTCATTTTCAAGTAAGAGTTTATGAAGACACAAGGGTGTCACTGTCTAAGAGGAAGGGATAGTCCTTCCCTTGTGGTGCTCATGTCCATACAAGTACCAGCATGACATGCAAATGTGTGATTGTCATCTTTACCTTACATGTATGTATTTTCAGTAAATAGTAATTTGACTTTGGCCTAGTCTATTTCTCTATTAGTTATGAAGTGTAAGTATAAAGTTTCATATAATCTTACTAATATTTAGAACATAGTCTCGAAGAACACAGGATATTAAAGTTTTTTTTCAAATTCCACACAGATGTAGTAATGGATATCAGCTAGTTTATAGTAAATATTAAGTACCTGAACAATTTCTTTGACTTTAGGGTGCTTAGAGACCTCCCTTGCAACACCACCATCTCCTCCCCCAACAATTAATACCTTCTCAGGATTCTTGTGACTGCACAGTGGTAAGAATGACGCCATTTCCTGAAACACAAATTAAACTTTGGACAAACATACTTATTTTGTAAAACATTTTAAACTTTAGAAAAAGGAATTATGTTATTATGAGCCAAAGAATATGTATTTTTTATTTAAAACATATAGTAGTAAATTTGTAATTCACCTGATAAGAGAATTCATCTTTCTCTGTGCACTGTATGATTCCATCCAAGATTAGGACACGACCGAAACTTGTTGTATCACATAGAATTATATCTTGATATGGCGATTTCTCTTGATGAAGAATTTCTTTCACTTCAAACGAGAATGTACCACCAGGCCACAAGTCACATGATTCTGTGTACCAGTTGTTCTTTAAAATATTCATTTTAATCTGTAAAAAACAGAAATAAATCCATATTTATATAAATACTATACTCGATATAATCGAATAGTCACGAAAGATTTGATTTCTAAAATAAAATAGCTAACTGTAATAATGTGTATTTGATGATTTAAAGTAAAAAAATATATTATAAAAGTTTAGTAAAGCTATAATAATCAAAAAACTTTATAATGTTAGAAGTACATTTAACGAACCAAATAATTTTATTCCGATTGTAACAGACACGTGCGTCTAACCTCGCACTGAACAATAATATAGAAATATATGTATCTAATAAATGAGGCACTCTATTTAATAAGAAAATAATGCTATAAATAATTACTTGTTATCACTACTTTTGACCGCTTGTTATCTTCGTTATTGGTGGTTATTGGTTTTTTATCTATTGTTATCTAATGTCAAATGTCAGTTGTCTAAAAATTATCAAAGAATAGACATCAGATGTCATGCACATACGTTCTATTTAAAAATCTTACGAAATATTTTATCTGTATTCAAATTATCATCTGCTTGACATTATTGACAATGGTTAGAATGTTATCTGTAAAACGGTCTTATTGACAACAAAAATAAAAACAAATATTGATCCGATTTGTAATCCATATTTTAAAGATTGAAGAAAGGATTTGTCTTTCCAAGTTCTTGTCGTATTTCATTGATTGTAAATTTCAAACTAATAGAGAAAAGAAACATTATCACTAAAGGAACCAAAAATCTGTTTAAATGGACGAATTTGGTCTTACCGTTGAAGAATTTATAAACGCAATAAAAGACTTTAAAAATGTATCAGACCAAATTAACGACGGATGGCGGTTCTATGAAAACGAAAATGAGATACATAAATCGTATCTTAAAAAGGAATCCTTTACTAATTTTGATTTACAAGGCGAAATAACTCTTTGTAAAGTGGAATACAATATTTTCTACAACATCAGCTATGCAGTTCCTTCTTTTAGTTTTAATGTTTGGAGGTCGAACGGGACCTTGCTAACTCTTGAAGAAATTAGACAACTGTCCTTCATACAGTAAGTACAATTGTAGCTTATTGTACAAGTTTCGGGAGTGTTTGTTGGTTTGCAAAGTGTTACCTCTACTTATAATTCTAAACCACACCCTATTATTTCTAACCTACTTTAAAAAAGAGGAAGTTCTCAATTTGATCATTTTATGTCTACATAAATTACGCTGCAATTTATTTACGTGATTCTTTTTTTGTTTGTTAGAAGTAGCTGCAATTTGTCTTTAGTTCCTTAAGAAAAAAAAAATCACAGTTCAATTACAAATATTGCAAATTTTATGTATGATTAGATCATCATAACTTTATATCTAGTATTATACAAGACTCTTATTTATTTATTTTTACTTACTGTGTATACTTCTTATGTTTCAGTATAAAGCGCGAGGATTTCTACTCAGTTATAACCCAAAATGAGCATCCTCTGTTTGGCCGACCATACTTCATCATGCATCCTTGTCACACCGCCAAGCTTCTGGCGCAATTCAAGCTCAACTCAAGAAATATTATTGTAACATTCCTAAGTCTCATTACGCCATTATTGAAACTAGAATTGCCATTAGAATATGGCCTTTAAAAATATTTAAACAAATATTGCAATGTTAAAATTTTTATTCCGCTTTGAAGTAGTGAGTTTTCATTCTAATAAGTATAACCTTTTTATGCTTGTAATTTAAGAATGGGTGAAAACCAAGTGTTTGTGACTTAACACATTAAGTGCACCAAATCTGGTGAGTACACTTTTGTACAAGAAAAATATAGCATGGAATGTGTTAAGAGTGATTGAGATCTAGTCATTGTATTGAGCTGTAAAACTGTTAAGGAGAGAGAAGAAATAACTAATTCTTTGAGGCAAAAATATTTATCAAACTAGCCAAAGCAGTTAGTACTTATTATGTATTTTATCTTTACTGTAATGTTTAATCTGTATGCTTCTTTTATATTTAAAAATATACCAGAATTGGTAACTAATAAAATACATTTAGCTTGATATTACTGTTTAAAAAATATACTCCATTCATGCAATACTCTATTGGAAAAGCAAGAAGTTTTTATTTTGTTATTATGTGTCAGCATTATGGTAACTGTAATTTATAACTTCTGGTTACCTCTTTGCTGTGCAGCATTATCTATGTAGATGTAGGAAATGCTTAGTTTCGTGCTCAAATCTCGTTGATTTATTTATATTTTCTTGTATGATCCAATTTTATAAATTAATAAATGTTATTAAATTTATTGAATTGATGAAGTGTTTTTTATTTTATACACATTGTCATAGTTTTATCGAAAATCTATTATTCTGAAAGCAAATAAAACTATACTTCTATAGACTAAAATATGCAGTTCATTTCTTTTATAACATGCTTTGTGTCTCTCTCTCGGTGTCCTTCATGAAGGTTGGCAATTCATTCATGACGTCATAAAAACGCGACTCGTACCAACATCACGTGTTCAATTTTACCGCCAATAGCTTATACACTGGTTTTTTTTTTTTTTTTTTTT